TGGTGGTGGTGGTGGTGGTGGTGGTGGTGGTGGTGGTGGTGGTGGTGGTGGTGGTGGTGGTGGTGGTACATACAGGGGGGTGATTGTCAGGCTGCCCCAGTGTACGCCTTGAAAAGGGGAACGTGTGTGTGAGGCCGCGGCAATTGGGTTATTGGACGTGAATCAACACAATTCACTACACGTTTAAGGTCAAAACTACCTGTGATACATTTGAAGAACGATAAACTTTGTATCTTATATATACCCAAATACTCAAGATGAGGCAAGTTCCAGGTTGACATAATCAATTTATGCGCTTACCTTAGGACAGGACTCGTATAATTCCTATCGCTGAGGGCAAAAAATACCTCACGAGATTAAAGAAGGCAATGCTGTCTCAGGTTAACAAACCACATTCCAGGCACTTGATTACACGAAAGACTGCATGCCCTATTGGAAACTTTTCTTAAAAACTATTAAATCTAGACAGACTACACTCGCTGTTGTGTTTGTAATTCCTAACAAATTGAGGTTGGTTCATGTTGGTCACGATAGCCACTGATAGTAACCAGCGAACGCAGTTTTTCTGGAACACTGCCCATCTGGTAGCTCAGATGTTGACTTCATACGCTGAGCACCAATGGTTGACAGGATTTTTATGGAAAACCAATTCATGCAAAATTTGAATAAACGAAAGCCATTTGACCGCTCACCAATGCTGGTACACTAAACCTTCCTTATAAGAACAATACTTTGTATAGTATCTGGGTGGTTTTAGCTAATCAAGTTTATTTATTTTTAGTCTTCTGAATCAGGCTCAGGGACTGACTGTGGTACTAATCGTTCTTATCACCGGCCTGGTTCAATTTACACATAGTGTGTTTGCGAGACACTTGTGCGTATATTTGTTCGAATTTTGAAGTCTGTGGATGATCGAGATGTTATGGTCAATGAATATTTTTTTTTCAGATCTAAGCAACGTTTTTAAATATGTTAAAATTACGAAAATCGACTGTGGAGATCACTTTTAGTTACGGTGGAATCTGTTGATATGCGGTTAGGTGGGTGATATGGAAACGTTGCTATCAGCAATGAATCAACTTATTTTTGGTAAATCTTAAATGATTTAGAAATTGAATCCCTAATGATACACGGCTTGAAGCTTATTATTCAGTTGCACCTTTTTTCCTACTAAGTCTAAGTGTTTCCCACGCAAACGTGCCGTGAAATTAGAGGACAAAATTATCAACGGAAAAAGTGCTCAATACTCGCCAAGAATCGGCTCCATATTTTGCAACTTCTTGGGTTGAAAAATGCAACAGACTGTCACTTAATTTCCAAGCTCCTTAATCATGCTACTATTTTGTTTGCAAAGTCCATTTTTAATAAATAAGCATGTTTTTGAAATCCGTATTTTGATTTATGATCTGCTTAACAGAACCAGCAATATTTAAATGTGAAGAAACGGTAGAAGTTGGTTTCCTTAATCAAAATGTGTTACTCTTTTCAGTGAGGAGTTGGTTTCAACTGTCAATTGTAAACCATGAAGAAGTGCTTTTAATGACGAGTAATTTTTTCCCATAATTTATTTATAGCCTGACTACCGTGATGCTATTCGCACAGAGGGCATGGTCAAAGACCTTGTGGCCAACTTACGAGTTCCAAACGATGAACTTCAAATGCACTGCGCTGCTACGATCTTTAAGGTATATTCTCGTTTAATGATTGCACATGAAAACTTTTGCCTCGTAGATGCTGACTTCATGTCGTGTGTTGATGGATAAATAGTGATGGCCAGAACATTGAGAGATTAATTTATTGCTTGCCCAGCATGGCAGTCATTATTACAGCTATTGCGTTTATTAAATTGGCCAGTAAATTTGAGACCATATGTTAATCAAGCTCACAGTTATAATGCTTCAGACTTTTCTGTATCTGAAACTACTACTGCAAAGAGTTCGCTATTGAACACTTCAAATAAAAAATTTTGGCGTCAAAATAGTAAGGGGCTTTTAATTGACCAAAGTTTGCGCTTCTAGTCGAAAACACTGAACTAAATCCTATGAATGTTAGTTTGTTCTGTATTGCTTATTCTACGCTACACCGAAAACTTTTGTCTGGTATGAATGCATATATGATATACTTGCCCTAGTTTAGTAATTACTAATGGGATTGCAAATTCATTTGCCCATTCCCCCTTAGTGCGCTGTTGATCAGGAAACCCGTGAGCTAGTTCGCCAGTATGGCGGGCTACTGCCATTAACTGATCTGTTATCTGCCAATGAAAACAAGGAACTTCAGGCCGCAGCTACTGGGGCTATTTGGAAGTGTGCTGTCTCTCCAGAGAATGTGAAGGAACTTCAGAAGGGTGGTGTCATTTCAAAACTGGTAGCTATACTTACGCAGCAACCGGAAGAGGTTAGAATAATTCTATTACTCTCTTTGCTCTAACAAAATCCACTTGAAGCACCTTGCTGTAAGGCCCCACAAGCTCTCCATCCTCATACGATTGTGGGCAAAAGAGTTTATGGAACCAACATAACTTCATTAATATCGTCGTCTTTTTCAAGCAAGAAGTTGAGATATATGTGTTACTGATTAATCGTTCAAATTAAAATAACTGATTTACTTGATAAAAAGGTGACACGTCCTAAATTAAGACTTTTTAGCAGTTCATATAGATTTATGAAAAAAATTCTTTTGTTTTTGTGGGAAAATGGGTAAAGTCGTTATTTCCTGACCATTTATTGCACTTTTTAGATGAAAACATATCTTTACGTAAACTCAATTTCCAAGCGAATAAAACTAGTTTCACGAACTGAAAAAGTAATTTCTGGTCAGGTTTAATCAGAGTTCGTTTGCATTCGTTTTTCTCAAAATGTTTGTTCTGCGCTTCATGATGTGTAAACAGCACCAAAGTAGAGAGGTGACGGCAGTACGAATGTGTCAAGCATAAAAGAAATCATGGTGTGTAAGTGGAATTAACTAAGGGTTTGGTTTGTGGTATTATTTAGAACTGAGGCTCATGTTAGTTTCAATTGTAATTGTTTAATTTGTTTTGGTTTGTTAGCATTCGCCTCGTAGAAACACAGCTGAATGAAAAAACTATTAAGAGGATACGCTAAAATAGACTCGACAGGAAGTTCATTTATTTAGCTTTGGGTCTCCACTGGGTGCAAGGTTCTGTTCAAAACTTTAAAAATTCTGGTTACTGTACACGTTTATGACAATGAGGACTGATCAAGTATTCGGGACGAAGCTTAACATCCTACACTGGCTTATAAATGCACATAACGTGAGATTGGCTAATTTTCTGGCTCTATATATTTTAGCCCATGACTCAGCCAAGAATAAGTGTTCAAATTCGACTGCAATTGAGGGACAGTAAATTGCCCGTAATTGATGCACCTGCAAAGTTTTGACGATAAGGTGTCCAGTCTTGGAAGTATTTGTCTTCCTAACACTGTAATGAATATTCTTTTCAGTAAGACATAAGAATTGCTTGTACTTATGACCCTATTGACCAAATAGTTTGTTGAGTTATTTTCCATGCTATAAGTAGACTAAAAGTCCCCGTAACTTATAATTTATTTTATAGGTGCTTGTTAACGTTGTTGGAGCCCTGGGCGAAATGGCAAAAAACACCGATAATGTTGCCCTCATCAGGAGGGTCAACGGTATAGCTCCCTTGATTGCCCTTCTCACGGGCACGAACCAAGAACTTTTAGTCAATACAACCCTCGCTATAGGCCGCATTGCTGAAGACCCAGGAAGCATGCCGTGAGTTGTAAAGAATTGTCCTAATATATAAATGATGTATTTTTTGTTACATTTTTGCGTATTTTTAATTATAAACAAGGTATGAAACAAGGTTTTATGCCAATTTAAGTTAAGAAGTAAAAAAAACAAACTTAATTCTTATTATTACCATTGCCATTAATATTATTATGAAGTTAAGCCAAGACAAACCACAAAAAGTTTTCTGAAACCAAGAATTTAGCCTATTTATGAAATGCAGACAACAAATGCGTACATTTTGGTCGAACTTAACTACATCTGACCGCTCTGGGTTGAATGCTCGTTTAGTTATGGGGATCTATAATCTTGTAAATTTTATAAAAACAACGTCTTTGTACTGTAATGCACGTGCAAGAAGATATATTTGACCGATTTTACTGTGGTAAGGTTTGCAAGACTTATTTTAAAACACCAAATCTGTATCAACAACCTGAGGTAATGTCATTTAAAACAAATTCACCTAGATTTTTACTCCTTCTTTTTATTTACCACATTACAGATATATTTTTGGAGCTTAATGATCGAACACCGAATTGTATCATCCCATTCCTGTAATAAATTGTTCAAAATTAAATTTGCTATGAGACTAATAGCCAGAGTTGCCATTGTCTCAAATCTTGAAAAATTTTGCGGATTCACATAAGTGTTCATGCGAAAAAAATAATTACTAGAAGCCTAACGCAAGTGTACCTTTTTATACGCGTCAGTTAGTTGTTCATTGTCCATATGTGTTAAAGCACCTTGTTAGATGATGAACTCAATTTTTTTTCAATGCACACAAAAGAGACGAAGCCTTGGCGCAAATTTGTACTTTTCTAGGCAAATCAGTAAAATAGACGATGTCAAGATAGGTCTCAAGCCGACCCCTTGATTTTGTTGTGTGATCAGTAATTTGAGGAAAACATAAAGTCTGTCGATTTTTTTAGTGTTATCGAGAGAAACGACGGCGTCCGCCTGTTGTGGTCCCTTCTGAAGTTCAATCATCCAAGTGTGCAAGCAAGTGCCGCCTGGGCTCTTTGCCCGTGCATTCAAAATGCGCAGGTTCGTTGAAACTCCCCGAAACATTTCCTTAAATTATTTATATTCGGATCGGGAGAGTCAACTAACGTAACTGTTGTTAATTAACCGTAAAATTACTTGTTTATGAGAACGCTTTGCTGTCTGAAGCCTTATTTGTTCTGTAGACTTTAGGCAAGAGGGAAAAATTTCCCTTAGAAATAATTTCTTCGTTGGAAGTTGCTCAGTTGTGTTACTTTATTTCATTGGAATGCGTTTTCATACGGGGTTTTGAGATCTACGTCTAACTTACTGTATCCATGTTTCTGATTAAATTCGCGTCACAATTTATTAACGCCCATTCATTTCATGTGAGCATTGCTGTTTAAACCACGTGCATTTTTCGAATTAAAAAAAGCTGTGCATATCTAGTACATCGAATAGTTTAACCAGTAATTTGTCATTTCCATTAAAAACTCCGCCTAAACTGTAGCCTTGTTGTAGCTTGTGTTTGCATTTATACAAAATAATCTGAGGCCAATTCAACTGCTTTGGCTCCGGTTAAGTTGTGACGGTCTTAAATCGAAACCTTCGTTACTCTATGTAGTAATTTTGAATTAGTGTCAATGCAAGTAACATGAATGGAATACGTAAAGGTTAATTGGTATTCGAATGTTTTAGTGGGAATCTTATGAGCTTACTGTTCAAATTTAAAAGACTAAAAATTTTTCTTGTCCACTTAGTAGTAGCTCTGTGAATGGTCAAACCACTAACAATACGATATTTGCCAATCCAAATAATTTAACGTCTATCAAGTATGCGACGAATAATCAAAAGGAAGCCATTGCCTGTGCTGAGATGTTTAGTCAAGTCTTTACCGGGCTGGCAATTCGAAATCCCCTTAAATTAGCGTGTCAAAGTAAACGCGTAACATCTACTCTGATAAGCTCGCCTTTTGGTAAAAGGGTTTCAGTAAATCCCCTGTGCTTTGGCTGCAATAAGGTAAGGAGACGCCGGTTGGATTTTACGTTACCACTTCATGGGTGATATTATGAAGCGAAGAGATAGTCGCCAAGAAATTTGGAATCCAACGAATTTCAGTACACCAAATATGCACTCATGTCAATCCTGACACTATTCACGCCTATCTTTGAAAAGAAGCCATCAAAGTAGTTTGAGGGAAATGATTTTCTGGCTGATAAGTAACTTAGGCTTCTGCTTTGTCTAACGAGCAGGACAGCGGTGAAATGGTGCGTTCATTTGTGGGCGGGCTCGAACTGGTGGTCAGTCTACTGCATTCTCATTCAATGGAAGTGCGTGCGGCCATTTGTGGCGTTATCTCCAAGATTGCCATGGACGAAGAGAATCTGGCTGTCATCACGGACCATGGTGTAGTGCCACTCATTTCTAAGCTTTCATTTACGGTGAGTTGCAGGTGGTTTGGAATGGATCGGTACGTAAACTAATGCACATTTCTTTTAGTAGAAGCGCAAGGGACCTTGTAACACTTTCAAGAGCCCACATTGTTTTAAGTTTAGAGTTTCCGATATGAGTAAATTAAAGAATATTATAATAATGTGAAATGTTACCTGATCTACAATTGTTAATTTCCATGGTGTAGGACATCATTACAAAATTGAATAAAATAATAACCCCTGAGTCAAATACTACTTTAGGCAGCAAATAGTTGACTGAGATACGGTTGACGATTCCATTTCAACCACTGATTTCAATTCATGATGATTAGTTATGGAATTATTTGCAGACAGAAACGGGTATCAATAAAACGGCCTCGGAGGAATTCGTGACAAAGCGCGAGTTGTTTCAAGTTATGTGACATGTACTAGTTTTCGTAATCAGCATTAAATAGAAGTTATCCGAAAACTATTAAAGAGATTGAGGACGAGTTACGCAAAATGTGAATTTGGTTGGAGGGAGCCTGCAAGACACATCATCTTTGGGTTGAGGCACATTGAAATCTGTTTAGTCGATTGAACACTTCAGTGAGTCAATTGTAATGTTTTTGGACAAAACCTTAATGTCCCGTTTTATTACTCCATTGTCAGAGGGATGATTCGTTGCGCCGGCCACTTGCAGAAGCGGTTGCCAGATGCTGCTGCTGGGCCACAAACCGCAGCGACTTTGGCAAGAACGGGGTCGTGGAACCCCTTGTGGGCTACCTTAAGTCGGATGACTCCGCTGTCCAGTGTGCGACTGCCAAAGCTCTCTATCAACTTAGCCGGCATCCAGAGAACTGCGTCGTTATGCATGCCGCTGGGGCCGTCAAATACCTCGTGGAGTTGATTGGTTCGTCGGTAAGTAAACGTGAGCTAAACTGACCTCTCTCTTGATTTTTATTCTGGAAGACCGATCCCATTTCCTAACAACGTCTCCAAGTATTATGTGCTAACGTGGTGGATTACAGTTATCACTTTTGGTAACGCCTGATCATCTTAATCCTTTTTAAGTAAGCTATATAGACACCGAATAAAAGGCACTTTAAAAAGTACACACGAAATTGAAGAAAATTGCCCTCATTGAAGGCGACCTTTCTTTTAATAGATGGCCATGGTTCAGTGAATAGGGATGCTCATGTCCTTTCCAAGCATTAAAATTGTTCACATTAACAGAGTTTTAACCAATCAAACATTCAAACATCAATCCCATAAGCGTTTGGGCTTCTATGGGGCTTTAAATGTGCGTTTTAGCCTAACTGAATCCAATAAAGGAGAGGTTGATTGTCATTATTCCTAAAATTTTGTTTATGCCATTCATAACCCAAATATTTCATGGAGATACTGTTGTTTTTCCGGCTGAATTTTGTTTCAGATGCAATAAATTATTTCTTTATCTTGACCGTTCTGTCAGCGGGATAATGCCACTACGTCCCCTACGCTCAATTTTTATTATTCTTTGGTTGTGAAATCCTGATTGACACAGGAAGTATTGGAAAAATATTTTTTACAATTATCGTCTTTTTCTGGGTTTAAATGTACTTCAAGATTAGCGAATTCCAAGTAAGATACCTTTTTATTTAAAGGTTCTACTTCAGAATTCATTTTGTTGTACTTCTTATTGTTAACTTCAACAGCGTCAAAGTCGCCAAGCTGCCTGCCTTCCTCGTACATTTACAAATGATAAGACTTATTAATCCACGTTATTGTACTTTTGATGGAATTATTTGCGTGTTAATTGCGAAGATTTTATGACTTACCTCTGTCGATTGGGCTTTTCTTTTGTCCATTTTCGATTTGGGTTCTTATAGTTTTCCCAGAAAGTCTCTAATTTGTTTTGAAACCGTTATAATGCGGTATACTAACTTTTCGTATTTTTCAAAATTGAAAGTGCGCAAGTGGGAATGCAGCATAAGTTTGAACCACAAAGACAAGTGAAACTATGTACTAAATTGAAGCACTAAGTTACCCGTCCTTTTAAATGAGATTATCGATTTTGGGAGTTCACCATGACTTTGGGTTGCTTTTTAGTGATAGGATGATAGTTGGCCTACACTGTACATTGATCCACTTACAATGACACTGTTGCTGAACTATCATTTATTATTTTCACGTTACTCATGCAAAAATATTTCGGTCAGCTTTGTTTTTGGATGATTTTCTGTTGTGCTGTAATTTTATATTATCATGTACGGCCACTGAATTTGCTGTCTAATTATATATTTATTAGGAAACTTAAATGCCGAAGGGTTTCAGTGCCTATGTCGAATATAATTTGTTGTTTATTAATGTGTTTTTTCCTCAATTTCAGAATACTGAACTTCAAGAAGCAGCATCATTGTGCATTGCCAATATTAGGCGCATCGCTCTTGCTCATGAAAAGGCAAATCAGAATAGTAAGGCGAAGGCGTACAAGGCGTACAACCGTCAATTGACCATGCAGAATTCAGATTCACCAAAGAACTCTGTTCAGGTTCATGACCGTGCAGCAGACAGCAATGGGTCTGGATACGTTGCCGCCAACAGTACGGCCAACAACGACATTGAGGAATCAGGTGCTCCGTGCAGTGTAAACGAACCTGCCCGCTCAGCATAAACTCTGATTCCGAGAAAGAAGGCTCATCGCGTCACTAGCTGCTTGTCAAGTGCTCTGAGGGTTGAAAGTGTGGCGAAAAACTTACAGTTACAACGTATTAACGAAATTTGGGCCGTTGATGCATTTGCTCATAAGTGAGAAAGCCTAAATACAAAATACAGAGCTTTATTTCTCTAATTGATTTCAATAAGTTACGTGTGAAATTGCCACAAGAGTAGGTATTAGTAATGCACAAATGGCTCCTATTTTTAGAAGGTTGGAAAGCACAAGCGGTCGAAAAAATGTTTAATTTTACTAAATTATAATTCTTTTAACCTTACATGAATCAGGTCAGACATCCAACTACTTTGTTGCATGTTTACCACTTGCTTTTTAACATAAAGGGCCCTCAAAATCCACAATGACCAATCGTCTCGCATCGTTCTCGACGTCCTAAGTGGGCATGCTTGATTTTATTTTCATGTATTTTATTGTCCCAGGTAACAGGAAGCACCTGTCCTCATTTAGTAATACAGCTCCATTCTGCTATCGCGGTACTAATGACCATTTGGAAAGTGGAATGAATAATAATGACTTCAGCTGATAACAGACGATTGATTAGTGAGGACTCAAGGGATTGCAGACAATATGATTCTACGTAACGGGCATGACTATGAGTGACACTGTCAGCTCAGCAGCCCAAAGCCCTAGTCTATTCAACGATTTTCTTCTAATTTTTGTTATACAGTGCCAGCCATTAGTGGTGATTTAATGTCGCTTGCATAAATAACTCTTATTTCCATGTCCAAATTACATTCGAACTTGAATGTCAATTGCGTTATTTTGATTAATTCGGAATTCTTCACTTAGGAAGGTAAAAGTTAACATTGATGTTTCAAAAGTGGAGAAGTTGGGCGTGGCAGTTCCCAGACTTTCATGGGAATTTAATAAAAAGTTAATAGCTTATTTATCACCCAGTTCTGTTTTCGAGTGTCAAGCTAAGGATTATCCGATTTCAGTTAAACGTTTTAATGTTCCTTCATGACTTGTAAATTTAAACAGTTCTCGAATTCGTGGACAATAGTTTAATTTTGAGCACAGGAAGTGAAATGGCATTCCCTATAAGTCAAACAAGAATTAGTCTGGCTATTTTCTGTACCAAACAACAGAAATCAACTTTTAAGGATTGTGTTAAGTCACTTCTATTGGCGACATCAAGTAAACTTTTTCAGCATTGTTTCCGCAGCTGTGTTTTGCTATTTCGACCATCCCAAGTTAAAAGTAATTTTTCAAAAGCCGAGGACTTCCTTCGGTACTTTTGTGCAAATGCTTAAAGGACTTTAACATTTAACGTGAACGACAGTGATAATAATGCCAATAAATTTGTCATTATCTTCTTGGTCGTATGATTTTTTTTTAACACATGGGCCTGCTGCAAAAACTGCATTATTTATATAATGCATAATGTAACAAGTTATATTTGTTCATTTATGCTGTTGTTATGCTGGTGGCGCCACTCTACAACATTTGTAACGCCTGAAAGCCTATTTGGATTTTTTCCGGGAATTTCATTAATGGATTTAGGGCAAATAGATTATTTAATGCAGAAAAACAAAAGAAACTTCTAAACTGACAAAAAATTTGTTGTTATTATCAAACTGGTAAAATAAAAGAGACTGGATGGTGTGCGGAGCACGCTTACATTGAACTAGGCCTACAGTGAAAGAACTGTTTAAAAACTTTTCAGCACTGTTTAGTGGGACACAAGGATAAATGGAAAAACGTCGTTGAAACATTTTTGGAGTAAATTTGTCTTAAAATGTAAACATTTACCAATATTATTATAATAATCTCCAGCTCTTCGGCCAATAATTTATTAGTTGGTTTATGTCATGCTTTGCAGGAAAGTTATTTTTTACCCTGGCTACTGATATTCTGATGCCATACTGAATACTTTTTTGGATACTTCTGTATAAGAAGCCTGACTCGTGCCAAAGGGATGCTATGTGTGAACATGTGAAATGATGGGTTGGGAGTTAGTCTGTGAAAGTCTGTCGAGCTACAGGTGACTGAAGCAAAGGCTTGTGTTTATTAATATCTAGTTCAGATTTTCATTTGACATTAGTTTTTTTTAAGTTTCGGATGGAAAATAGGAAAGGACGCATTAGCTAAAATGCCTTTACTTTCATCTACCATCCATCCAAGCACTTTCAAAAGTAGCATTTCTGTTTTAAAATCCTGAGTAAGGCTTTGATTTCTGGAAAGCATTACTTCCTATGTTTAATTTCAGAAAGCGTTTAAACTATATATGTATTAAGAATGTGTCCTTTATCATTATTTGGCCACTACCTCTTAGTATTTTAACAAGTGTTTTGACTGTTCTCTTTTTGCTATTATTTTGTTTGGGACCGTTTAACTCGCTCTTACTATTCGACGTCATTGATCACGCCGCCTTTGTTCACAGACCCCCCTTGTCTGGCATAGCTGATGTGAATCACCATTAGTGAAATGTGTTAATTTACGTTCACTATCTCTGTCGATGCCTGTCCACACAACATGATAATCCACCTCTTTCAGTGATCCTCATGTCTTTCATACTCCGCATCAACACTTTCATTGTTTGTACATCCGCTTTTACAAGTACCCTCGGGCACATCCAAAGGAGGAACAAGTGACTGGGTGTCCAGGCGGATGGAATGGGGAGCGGGGACGGTACACGCATTGGGCGCCTCCTGAGGTCTGTGAAAAGGGAGCGGTGTATGCGATGATAAGTTTGATGGTTATACATCGACGCAATTCGCTATAGATTAAGGAGACGGGAAAAGGCACAAAAAATTTGGACTCATACTATTAGGTCCAATTTTGCACAAAATATGAGGTCTTGGTAACGTTGACTCGCCAGGACATATGTGCGCCAATAATGTCAATATTTGTTATTAAAGACCCACTCGGTTATCCCTGTCACCTTCTGCAGCGAAACTAATCTCAACCAGTTTTGACTCACTTCTTTGCACTAATAACAGCCGACATTTCGTAAATCTGCTGAGCTTTGCTCCTTCGAGTCTCATGATATCGAAATTTGGAACCTTCGATTCATGACACTATGACTTTGTTTGGCCTTTATAAAATTTGCGCAAGATTTAAATAAACTTTGTGACCCATGTTGTGCCACATATTGAATCTCCAAATGGTTTTAATCATAGATTTCAAACCTCTTTATTAGGCATTCAAATTAAAATTTCACTGATATCCCTGGAACCGTGCACAATACTCTGCGGCTTTAAAACACCTCTCTGTTTGGTGACCCACAATATCCACTTGCTGCAATTTGTTGGCAACATTTGAATAACTATATCCAATAAAATGTGAGAATTTCATTGTGAAGAGGAACTCATGAGCAGAATGTGTTAAATTTTGCATTCCTCGTCAAATAAATGCACAAGCTTGTCTCATGGACGTGTTTTACGCCGGTTAGGCAACCAAGCCGATTGTAAAAAAAAAACGCTGTCTCATTGCAACTCACCATTGGGTAGTATGAAGACGTGCTAACACATGTTTCATTACTGTAAAGTTTTTAAACCATAGCAAACCACCCCGGTTTGGACCACTGGGACGCGGGTTCATTTAAGATAAATGCATTCGGGTAAAGCAAACTGATCATTAAAAACTAGTTGGCTTAATTAAAAACCGGTCTGGCATATCTAAGAAAACATTTAAAGTGAAAACTAACAGGATTTCTAGACAGATAGCAGTTAAAATAAGTTAAGAATCTCTGCAAATAAATCCACTTAAAACGCTTAAAAGTGTCTAAAAATGTGCCTTAAAGAGATATGCTCTACTGTCATCGTCAACGTACTCACCAGAGCTAGAAGCAAATTCTTGCCACTTTTTGGGAATGGATTAATTCACACTACTCAAACTATAAGCAAAGTAGAGCCACAAAGCGAACCCCTCTCCATGGTTACTATAGTACACATTTAAATAAACCGTAAAGTGATATTTATTTCCCAGGATAAATTGGGGCTATCTTGTGTCCTTCCAGAAGATATATTGGTAAAACATAATTGATAAGCGTATTTTCTCCCACTTTGTAGCTTGGCTTGCAGTGGAAAACCCTGAACTGTCATGCAGTAGTGCAGTATTGCTTTTCTTCTGCAAATATCACTTCCTGATTGTTGATACTGGCCATTTACGTTCACTAACTGTTTCGAAATAATTTTTAATTACTAATTCCACAGGATACATTACGAAATTAAATCACAGATGACTATTTTGAGTCTGATTCGGACTTAAACTTTTCCATTTGCTTCTCCTTACAGAATACCTCAACGTTCTATTCCAAATAGCCCTTTTATGCAAAATCTTTTTTTTTCGTATGACGAGAAACCAGGATGATGTCATTTAGCTTTAAAATGATTTTATTTTGGCAGATGCTTTTACGATTAACCCAGGCTAAAGTAATTCAATCCGACTCCAGTTTTTTTAAGCTGGAAACCGCAATTTCACTAAGCGTTCCTAAAGCTAATACCCGTTTGGTTTGTCCAAAATATAATTAAGCAACTTCCTAACTACTAACATCCTCTCTGTTTCATCTCTTGATGCAATAAACGAGCAGAATTGTTCTATCCAAGCACATGGCATCTGCTACGGCTACTAGAACTTCTGAAGTGGCCTTAAAAAATCCTTTACGTCATCACTGAATTTACGTTGTAACACGTGCTTGGTGTTTTGAACATGATGGATGGATTAGCAAATAACATGAAGTTCTGACCACGAATTTGATGAGGTAAATGATAAAGAGTTGTCCTGGTGATAGTTAAAAACTGTCTCTTAGTCTACTTAACACATGCTGCCCAAAGTTTGTGTCTGTCTGTTATAGGATTTGAAAGGTGTGCAAATGCTGAAGTTAGTTTAGTATTGTATTTACCGTCTAGCTTGTTATGCCGAAACTGGTTCAACGAATATCTCGAGGATTTCCTGGGTTTCACATCTTGAAACGATAATTAACTGATTAAATTTAGGCCAATGAGAAACCAGTATGGTGTTGTTTAATGCGGTAGAACCACGTAAAGAGTTTAAACTAATAAATTAGTTACCCTACACAAGGGCATTTGCGACCTCCTAAATCGTTCCTCAATTGGCCAGATTTTCGTCCAATAGAAAGCAAAGGAAAGTATCTGCTATAAGTAGTGGATGATTCGAGTTGCAACGGTTTCAAGGGGATGGGTGTTAAGACTCAAGCTGCCTGGAAGGTCTTCTCTTCAAACGTATTTGACTACGAAACGCAAAAGGTGGTGCAGATAAATTCTTTAAAAATTGGTATCACCTATCGCCTGATTCAACTTGGAATTGTGCTCTATGTTGCAGTTTGGGTGATGTACTACGAAAAGGGCTACCAAGCTTTCGACGAGGCAGTAAGTGGTGTGACAGCTAAACTTAAAGGTGTCGCCTACACGAACCTCACGGACACGAATATCGGTGCAACGGTCTGGGATGCCGCCGACTACGTGATACCGCCCCAACAACGCTCTGCCTTTTTTGTGATGACAAATCTTGTCATGACTCCGGGGCAGACACTGCGGACTTGTGAGGAGTCACATGATATCGCTGGTAATGACTGCACATCAGACAAAGACTGTAACTCTGGCAATATTGTTATGCTGGGTAGCGGTGTCCAAACCGGGCGGTGTGTCGCCTCAACCCGAAAGGCCAACTTAAGCGTCTGTGAAATTTACGGCTGGTGCCCCACTGAATATGATGTGCTTCCGAAAGACTTTATTCTAGCAAATGCGCCGAATTTCACTGTAATGCTTAAAAATAGCATCGAATTTCCACGATACCACATCAAACGTCGAAATATTTTGGGCTGGATGGACAAGAAATTTCTTTCCAACTGTCGATACAATCCAAACAGTGAAAAGATGAAGTATTGTCCTATTTTTCGACTTGGCGACATTATGGAGTACACCGAAGCGGAACACAAGCATATATGGAACAAAGGAGGGATGGTTTCGATTCACATTGAATGGAACTGTGATCTAGACTATAACGAAGAACAGTGTCTTCCAAAATACATATTTCGCCGATTGGACGATTTTGACAGCCCAGTTGGGAAGGGGTGGAATTTTCGATTCAGCCATCACTACATGGAAGGAAATGTACACAAGCGGAACCTTGTTAAGGCATACGGAATACAGTTTTTTATTACAGTATATGGTAAAGGAGGAAAGTTTCACATGTTAACTTTTTCAATGAATCTCGGCTCAGGACTAGCGCTGCTTGGTATAGCGACGGTGCTGTGTGACACGATTGTTTTGAATATAACACGGAAACGAGAGGTTTACAGAAATGCAAGAGTCGATCTTGTGGCCCAGAAACAGAAGAATTTGAAGAGAGATCAACTTAATCCTCTTAGAATAATCCCAAAGTGCAGAAATTCTTTAGGACGTGAGATTGGGTCCTCTTTGATTGCCGACTCTAATAAATCTTTTCAATGTTTAATAAAGGACAAAGTTCAACACTGTGGTGAAAGCAATGCAATTACATATTCTACTGCAGTTTGAGGTGTTAACATACTCCTAGAATTGCTATTGCCGTTTCTTTTTCAATTTTTTTAAGTAAATACAATATTTTTGGGCAATTTCTGTATTCTTTTTTTCTCATGTTTTTCTGTCTTTATTTGTTTTAATAGGACAGCTTATACTATGCGTTTCCAAAATTATTCTAAGATTTTTATGAGACGGTTACAGAAAAACCACCCAAGTTAGACACATCATTTCCTTACTTGGTGATTGATAGCTCCAACTACCCATTTTTTTATTTTGGGCTCTAGTTTTTGAATGCCAACTTAGTAATGTTTTTCTAAGGTTGATTAATACGACCTTAGAAGAACTTATTTCGAATTTGCTTGCATACGCGGGAAGCTGTACATTCAGACCCAATTAAAAACCTCGAAAAATATAATCCACATATATACTTTTAGGCCTTCTGGATCAGCGTTTACTAGTTGATTTAGGTTTAACAAGTTATTTGGTCACGTTCAGGCTAATTTTGAAAGTCTCAACGTATCCAAGTTGAATTTCAATGGTATTGTAAAATCAACAATCCAAGGGCAAACGGCCTGACAGAGCAGCTTTTTTCACACGGACCGATTTGTAAAAAGTACTATAACGTCGTGGTCTAGGTGAGAACGAACTAATTTAAATGGGTTTTCCGAGCTATACGATTGTCCAGGATTTCTAAAACCACTGGAGATGTTTGACCACAGCGCTACCCCCAAATTGATTGAAAGCCCTGTTTAACTGACGACACTAAACGTGAATAGACTTTATGGTAGCATGTATAATTTTCACCGACTGCCTACGTAGAAACTCGTGCCACAGTAACTATGGTTAGATAATTATAATGGAAACTGAAGTAACTTATGTGGCTTGTATATATGCACCCCTTCGAAGAACGCAGAGCTTAAGGCTTCTGATATGCAAAGTTTACGATGAATTCATTGCCTGCCCTGCTTACAATAATGATCACCATGGTCTTCATTAGTGAATGTCAATGAATGTCACTCTTGCTACTACATAAAGGTTCCTGTCAAAGCGATTCCTTGAAATATGACTAAAATAGATTTAGCTGGGCATCTACATATACCACAGACGCTATCCAAAATGGCAATCTCATGCCTGCAACTCTTCATCGCGCAAGGCTAAGACCCTAACTCACAAAGAGACGATCTATAACCAATGAGAACACTTGCCTAACTGCTAACTGGTCAAGACTAGACATGGTGATAACTGCTTGAAGTCACGTGAAAATATCTGCCCCTCTTCACCCCGATACCTTCACCTCTGTTGGCATGTGGCAAAATGGTGAAGTCAAAATTATTCAAAGTGTGGATGCTTTACAAATGCAGCAGTCTGTGTCGAATGTTATTGGCTCCCCAAGGATATTTTTGTGAAGCGCTTGACTTTAGTTTAATGGATATCTTGGTAGACATTCCTAGAAATTAAAAAAATGTGTCAAGAGAGCTAGTGGCTAAATTACATTATCAATAATAACGATTAAGCCTAAATTTCCCATTTCAAAGAGGCTGGAAGTATAAGATCACAGAATCCAAAATAACTATTATTAAAGGAGCCAATTTATTCTAGTGGTACTGCGGTAAATTAAAATTTCCTCTACCTAAACATTATGATCCATCTTGTTCTAACGCAAACACCTGTGAACACCCACAAATATAAGGGTACATCCAGTCTTTTTGGACCACATATCACGCCACAGGGTCAACATACACGAGGATGCCTTGAAAAACATTTCGATAAGTTAAGTTATGATTTATCAAGACCCTCATTAATATGGCATTAAACTTTGAATTTATATTTTGGGCAGACACTAAGAGTCCGAGCGCAAGGTAGCATTACATTAACGGCATAAAAATGACAAAACATCTAAATGCGAACCACGTCAGTCCATATCTGTAACAACTGTTTACACGTGATCAGACTCGATGCTAACTCATATTCCTGATTTTATAAGCCACCCAACTCTACGTCCGAATTAAATCCGTCGCCTATCTCTGGTTCCCGATGTTTAATCCAAAACCGTCTCACCTCAAAACGACGCTGACACTCAGTTACCCCATTATAGACGCAGACCCATAGATGGTTGTAGCAATGGCTCAATAAACGAAGGAGACCATTTCTGATTTTTTTGGGGAATTAGTTTGCCCGCCAACCATGCGGAACCACAAGGTATTAGCAGCCAACGTTGCAATAGTCCACCGGTTCGACACCGCCGACGCCTACTCTTCCGCCGTTTCCAAGATCGGAATTTCTTGAAACGTTGAAACCATCGTGATCAAACAACGAGAGGGAACAAAGCAACTGGCTATCTTTGGCTGGCTATTACCATAAAACTGCTTTATGTTATTCACTACCGAGTGCTACACTGTTGTGGCTAGATTTATCAGATGCCCCAGTCATTTAGGTATATCACGAAACCCATATAATTAGGGGATAACATATTTTGAGAAGGACCAGAAGTGACCAAACTGGAGTGCAGAGGAAGTTCACTCAAACCTCATAACACAGACATATTTACTGACTTTAAGCGCTCTGCACCCATATGAGCTTACAGTGCTACCTTACATTACTCCAGCACTCACTGGAACATACATACGAAGCTACGACATTTGGAGAAGTAGCAAAATGGTTGCATTACATGAAAATAAATATGTACAGTTGTGAGGTGGGAACGGTGTAAGAATATCGCCCGTTAGACTAAAATGGCCTCGTAGCGAGAAAAGGCTTTGGCATTCACCATACGCAGACTGGAGCCTAGGTGACGACCTGGACCTACTTCGATAGTTCGAGGAAATGGAGCACCTCCAGGCCGGGAGTACAGTGCATGTAACGTCTGCTCCCAATGAAGCGGGCGAGTCAGCTAAAGTGTGAAAGGACACAAATCAGGCATGCGAAGGCATTTAAGAGTTTGTGAACACGTATTAGCCTGAGGCACGTGCACAAATTTGCTTCTTTTTGGACAAGTCCCAAGGGATCCCAGAACCATGGTTAAAATGTGGTGCGGTTTGGTGAATGGTCATTTTCATGAAGAAACGCACATAATTTACGCCATAAGTTTCAATCTCCTACGAATGAAAAATTCTTTGCCCGGAAAAGACGTTTTAGTGGCCCAACCTGTTTGATGAGACGACGGGAAACCGTAGACCCTTGTCCATAGGGCAACGCATCGACATTACTGATAACGGGTATGCATGGAGTGCGGGCAGGACCGACTCGCTGTAAGGCGTTTTTCAGAGGCTCAACCGCAGGCAGCATCATTGGTGTGTGGAAAGCACCCGATACTTCAATCCTTCGGATTCGCCTTAGGCGAAACTGCTCAGCATGGGCTGTGATGTAGTCCAGCGCCTAAAGCATGTAACAGTAATATATGCGGCTGGTTATGTGGAATCACCACAAAATTGCCTGAACCCGTATTCCTAAAATGGATTATGAAAACATAAAGTTTCTAATTTTATGTAGAACAGCTTTTCAGATCCAAGTGAATTTAAGACTCCGCACGCAGAAATAGCAAAGGTTCATGCGAAAACCTACTGGGAAGTGAAGGAAATCCAGTCAGAGGAAAAGGGCTCTAGGCTAGTAACGACAATATCCTTAAAGTGTAATGACAAAAACGTTTTGGGACATATATCCGTTCTCAGACATCGATTTAATATTTACACGTAACCCAAAAGAAACAAGGTTCCATCAGTTGCAATTTTGTTCAAGTAAGTTAAACTAGAGGATTGGATGCATTATGTTTCATAAATTAACCATTTGACATTTACTGACACAATTAAGTGCAAATGGTATCAAAATACGCGAGAACGTCGACAGTAAGATACGATAATGATTGGGCTTCTTCGAGTAGAACCCTCACTTTAAAAATCTACATTTTTTAGAAAATTATAAATGCTGCGGTAAAAGCATAATTCCGATAAGGAAATTAAAAAAAGCTTTAGTCGAATAACTTATGACATATCACTGTTGCATAAATACAAAAGAGCATTACGGGAAACCAGGCTTTAGATATAAGCACGCTGGAACATCGCCTAATTTAAATGTAGGTTACGTAAACTCAAATAGCTTTGAAATCGAATCCAGGAGGATTTCGCAAAAACAACCCATAAGTTAAGAGGTCTAGACAACTGGAGACGCTGCTTCAATTTCAGATACATTTTGCGAAACGCCGGACTCACTTAACGAAGCAATTAAGTAGTGTAACAAGGAGCAATTCCAAAGGATTGTACAAGGAAATAAAATGTAGCTGCAAAACCTTAGCATAAGCTGTTAAACCACATCAGAAGCATAAAACTGAATGTAAACGGAGCAATCATAAGAACGCACCTCAATGTTACCGGCCAAAACCTTGCAGTCAGGTCCAAGAAAGCTGGCAATCTGACAGACGACGGGTGTCTCGAGCTTAAGGACTTCCTTGCAATGATTTATGGCAGCAGATAATGCCAAGCGCAACTGGGAATCGTGTGTGAGATAAACAGTCGACATTCCACTAGGTAGAAGATTACTTGCGCGTTCCATTGCTTCGGCACGTACACGAATTATATGCAAACCTAGCACCAAACATGAAATTTAAGTCAATCGCGGTTACAAGAAGCACAGTTAACATAAACTTCGGGCCAACATATATACTGACTTTAAGCGCTTTGCACCCATGTGAGCTCACAGCGCTACCTTACATTACTCCAGCACGAACTGGAACATACATTCGAAGCTAGGACATTAGGAAAAGTAGCATCTGACCCCAGGTGAAATGAATACGGGTAAACGCATCTGAAAAGTGTAAACTTCAAGCAATGGTATGCGGGCTTATGGAAGACACCAAAAGTAATGACAACGATTCGGATTCTTGGTGTAGCCGGCTTCGGACGCGTCAGAAAAATCGTAGCTGTTACATGAGTCAAAACATACCTTCCTCAAAAGTATACGCCCCAGCGAATACGAGAGCGGTGATTTCACCAAGACTATAGCCAGCTGTTGCAACGCATTTTTCAATACACTACAAGGCAAATTATACTGTATAACCACAAAACATACCTCGGGGCTATCCATTTGCAATTTTTTGACTGCAGCTAGTGCTGTGACATACACAGCAGGTTGGCAATGTATCGTTTGCTTTAATTTTTCTGCAGGTCCCTCAAGACAAGTCTTTAGCAAGTTCGTTCGTAAAATCGAACTAGCTAAGTTGAACATGTCCTTTACTCCGGTGACACCAAGCAGATTTTTTGCCATCCCAATAAATTGAGCACCTTGCCCGGGAAAAAGCAGGACTGAAGTGGACTCGATTGGTTCTTGCACTGGCCTTAAATAAGGATGACTCACATTTTTGTACACGATGGGTACCGATCATAATACTGACACCAAGAATTCCACCTCTGAGCACTATTCCCATCCACATTTGTGGGATTTGTTGAGGTAACTGTAATAGAGGCGAATCCTCTAAGAATTCGTTCCCATGTAGTGTGCTGCGAGAAGTAAGTACCAATCTGGTGGAGAAAGGCCATTTGCACAATAACGCAGACATATTGTACCACACCGGCCTCAGCCAATCCTCTGTCTTTTGCGTTCCAATGGAAGCGAGGAAGACATGCAGCCAACCAGGGAAGCAGTACATAAAGAGCCGCGCAGCCAGCTTGGTGAACTTGGGTGAGTGACTCCTGACAATGGGGTTCTGGTTTGTTATTGACGAGTAAAGTCTATTCTGTTGAACTAGTCCTCTTCATACTAGCAGTAACGTACAATGATGCAAAATGACCACCTCAGCCAGCCCCTTACCCCTGTGCGTTTGGATGGACTTAAGGGAAGATCTGTAGAAAGCTAAAGTCAAGGGCTGCGTATTATTAAATGTTAGCCTTTGATAAGACAAAATTACAATTAATTATCTGTTGCACATCCTTGAGTGTTCCTAATTTTAACCCTGCTAATCACGGGTTACATCAAGCCATTATTCTCGCATTTAGAAAACTTCCACTTGCACCAGAACATCAAAATTTGCAAAACTAACTTAAAGCTTTTACACATATTGTGCCAATCTGACACTAAATTTCGTGAGAAAAATTAGCTACGACATTTTCAAAAAATATTTCTGCTCTTACCTGTCTTTGATTCTATGTTATTGTGATAGGATTCCCCAAAGTTAGTGAAAATTGACCTGAGAACCGGTGGTTATTTTTATACTACCTTTATGCTGGAACCAATTTAGTCTACCGTACCCATGTTTCATTATCAGCTTTCCTCATAGCATAAAATGTTTGGCTATAGATTCATCAATAGGATAATAATTCCAGTACTGTTTTGCCATTCATCCCTAATTAAACCAAAAATTGTGTTAACATAATAATGAGCCTATCACTGTCGAAGACGGTAGTACTGGACTATAGTCAGAAGTTAGTGAAGTCTTGCCCCTCTTTGACTTTAAATTCTGCTTTTTTAGTTTCATAATATGCAGTCTATGACTTCAGGTTAATCGGTGTCTGCTTCCTAAAGTAAACTGAGCCTCCCGGATGATGGATCATCCCAGACTGACAAAAAGTTTTGGCAGTTAACTTCATGAGTCAGGCCGCATGCAAAGATACACTAGGCGTGAGCATATTTTTTTATATTCCTGGCTTCCCTGGTGGGAAAGGATCAATGAATTGCTAACTCTCATTAGCTTTTGGCTGGCTTGGAATGATTTATATCTCCTTATTAGTATTTCTGCATGGGGTGCGTCTATCGTGTCAGTCTGTATGACCAGGACATCGTGACAGCTTTGTTGTATATGTAGTGAACCGTGTTAATTCACGTTAAGCACCTCGGTCGTCGCAGCATCTCACACACGTCCCCCTTTTCACGGCGTTCCCGTCAGCCACTGGGATCGCCTGCCCATTAACACCTCTGTACGTACCACCATCACCTTTTATCTACGTGACCATTCAGACGCCTGTATTTCTACTAGTACACTCAATTGTATCTGTTATCAAAACCCAACTAGGTTGAGCTGTCTAGTAAACGGTTGCGCCTTCTATACCCCGGCATTCTTTATTTTCGCGGGAACACAGGGTAACGTATTCGGCCAAGATTGTCGCAGTGGCCCCGGCGTGGGTCAAGACAACATGCCGGGGCCCTCAACACATATGTATCCAGCTGCATAGGAGTTTACTCATTATAGCCAGGGTCCGTTATACGTAAATATTATTTGGCAAATTTTTTTTAGTCTTTTTTAGTCAAACTGATACAATGCTGGAATTTTGTTGTGTTGGCTTGATACACTTTCTTGAAATATTTCGAGTTAACATAAAAAGGCTACTACTTGGCCGAGTGATTGACAATTAGCCTCGCAAATGCCACTAGATACCATACCTTAATTCCTCCTTAAAATCTGAGTGACAGTATGCCAAATATGAGTGTGCTTCATGAAAATTCGTGATTTTCATCCACATTAAAACATCGCAAGGTCAATAGTAAAATAAAACCGGCAATCTAAAAGAGCGACTTACATGTGGGATATAAAATGCTACTTTGACTAAAGTTTGATTCGTGAATCTTGCTTAAGGATTACAAATGATGAGGCAGTCATTTTAAGTACCTCAATATTTTGATTTTAAACTGCTATTAACAGAAGAATTGTTTTACAGGAAAAAGTCAGCTTTTTAAATAATTTTCCACTTGTTTAATTCTGACGTTGGAAAATAAATGTATGGAATGCTGAAGTCCCGGTTATTACTATGCTGTGTTATTAAACTTCATTGGTTAACATTTGCTTGTCTCTAGAAGTCGTTCATTTGTGACATGCTTTATTGCTACAACACTGGTCGTTTTGCCTTTTTTTATCGCTTCGCGTTCTGACGGGATATTTCCAACCTTTTCGTAAATCACTCTCTTGTCATCATGCATTTATTTTTGAAAACCGGTCCCTGGACATTATACATATTCGACAAGCATGCAACCAAATCGCTGAGCATGACAAACCCTTATAAGGTCACCCAATTTATCTTCACCCACACTTGTCATTGCATGGAAAAATAACAGTGATCGCACGTTTTTGAGGCGTGTTAAAAGACTAATGTGTGTCTGTAACCCAACCCTATTTTTAGTATTTGTCGTTATTAGTAGCCTCTTACATGCGCTAATTTATGCACTCTCATTAACACGCCTGGCTGGTCTGATGCGAATAAACAGTCGTATCCTTTGTTACCTGCATTGTTTCTGGCCTAAAATTGTTGCAAATTGTTAGCTAGCAAAGTTCTAAGCTAATGCTAGCAAGTTACTACACCTTATGCCTACGTGCTGGCTATCTGGCTCTGTATAATAAAATTGTGTATTTAACCGCATTACTAATTATCATACTGATAAATCATTATGACCCCCTGGTTAAACCTAAAGGACAGTCTGACAGTCATGGCCAAATTTCGTTGTTTTAGCTACCACTAAGACATTATTCGTCAAAAACAACTTTGCCGCATTCTCCTATTAATGCTAATTAATTTTTTTCCTTTACAGAAGCTACAGAATGTAATAGTATTTAATAGAAATCTAATCTTGGGTCTTAGATCCTGTCCAATATTCAATTAATAGTTCTGGGATCCAACAATATGACTTACACCTCATAGCACAGAAATCACGCAAATAAAAACATTTTCGTTTCAAACGACATCGGCGACATAAGTTAACAATTGCAAAACCCTGTAAATTAATTTTGGTCACGCTCTTTTCACCAAAAGCCTATAGTCACCACAAAACTTTTATTGCAGAAGTTTTTTTTCATTCAGCAAAATAAAATCAAGCTTCAGTGATTTCGGAAATTTGCCAAACAATACTCCAACGCTAAAACATTAGTAGGAATGTACATCTTAATATTCTAGCGGTACCAGGTGACACATGACCGGTTGGCTGCGAGATAATAATGTAGATAGTCTAGGAAAAAAACGGCAGGAAATAGTAACAAACCGGCGTTTTCCAATGCCACATTAAATATCTGTACAAAAATTAATAAAATCCCACATAATGTGGTAATAACCAGTTATCTGTTACAGAGCCTACGGTTAATTATTGTGGTGTCCATAATTATCCAGCAGTCTTAGGACCCTTTTTTTGCTATATAATGCCCCATTTACACTTGTATAATCTACTGATTTTTTGCAATCGGTTTCCCTGACTTGCCACCGGTTTCTCTGCTAGCAATGGAGCTCTTGGGGGGGGGGGGAATATACCGCCCAATTATGTCATATTAACGAGTTGCGAATATACTTCATTTCAGTTTATAGTATAACAAATAAAGAGAAGGTTTAGCAGTACCTTCTGTTAGACATACGATACATTACGATAACCTGAAACAGTTTTGCAGAATGTTGAATTTCCATGAATCAAACAATCATTTTGATAACTGTTTCATCGATGGTTTAATTAATTATTAAGTTTTACATGGTTGGATATGCTATCACTTTTCAACTAGAAAATATCCTTAAAAACGTTTTAAGCCGTTCAAATAGTCGCCAACTTCTAAAGCCGCAAGGTTTGAGTTTGCTATCAGCCTGTGGTTCATTTGTGGTATTTTTTTAATACAGACTGGGAGTTTTTTTTCACCAGAGTTCTTGTCTTAAGATTCAACGAAATTGCTCCTCTTTATTTTGCATTAATCATTTTTTTCAATTTGGTATTTTGTATTTATTAGCTCTTCCTGATTTTTATATACATGAAATGGAAGCTGAGCTCCGAATTGGAAAATACTTCACGTTCTTTATGTGGCTTTTTTCTTCGTGGTGCATTGAAGTAGTTAACGTCATGGTGTGCGATCACTTGGGTCTCAACGAGAACGAAGTAACTTTCCATGTAGTTCAATATCGACCGTCACGAATTAGGCGTAATTCGGAACTACCCCATCTTTCATTTGGAGTTCACGTGGATGCATCCTTTGCAGAATTATCAAATAGTCATGTAATCAAGGTAATAATTTCATCTTAACTGATCGCACCTACTAGTCACAGTTTGTGGATCCAGCATTGCAGTTTTGGGAACAGGCACTTAGACTTCGACACCCCTTAGCTAAGACAGTTAAACTTGACAGGTATGCGCAATGGATTCCCTACTTAGATATTTAGACGGTGTAAAAATCGTAAAGTCAAATTTATTCCAGATGCAGACCGTTGGGTACCAGTCTGTGTTCTGGGTTGCGAGCTGGTAACGTATTGCGGCCCTGTAGTCGTACCCACGGAGCACCTAAATGTAGGTAACTAATAAATCAAAAATTTTTCGAGGACTGTCGCACACTCGGCGTTACTGACCGTAATGACATTGGTCCCAAGATTACTTTGAGGGCAGTTAATTTTCGCCTTTATCTTACCGCCAAAAATACGGAAAAGTGCATGAAGTCAAACTCTCTGGGCTATTCTGCACATTGTCAGCAGGAGTTGGAAACTGACAGGTAGGTTTTTCCGCTTTTATTTACGATTAGACCGATCGCAGGTTTCATAAATTTTTGCCCGACACCATTTAACCGCTTGATTGACATGTCACAGGTTACTTACTTTGTGAAGCATGAAGTGTTGCACATTTTGGTAACCTTTTGATTTTCTTAATTATTAGTTTGTGTAGGGCTTCTCACCCAATTTGTATGCGTTTTTTCGAGATGCTGATGGTCAGCCTTTGACTGCCCGGCAGCCGAAGTCAGGCAATCCTGCCCTAGGATGGCTTAATTCAAGAAGGTCAGTCTTATTCCTTCTGGCCATCGTAAAATTTAGCCTTACTAACACAAGTTTTGGTTTAACACAGGTCATGGTCACTATTTTTACCGTACATTTCACTTCTATAGAGGCATTTACCAATGGAGTGAGGAAATAATTAGAACGGTGTATCGTAACTGGACAAGTGCTCTTGGCGTATTCAGAAAGAAGGCTCATTTGGTTGTTACACCCAACGTTTTGGTGCGTAAACCCCTTTCTGGTTTATTTAACTAGTTTTTTCGGTAATCACATCCAAACGGTGTTTTTTCTCTTTCGCCTTACTTCCCTATTTAGAGTTTGGCAAAGAAATACTTTGATTGCCCAAGCCTGGAGGGCGTCGAACTGGAGGACCAGGGTAAACTTGGTGTTTCGCTTTCTCATTGGAAAATGCGCATTTTGGGGGTAAGGCATATATCAATGTGCAGATCTCTGACCGTATTCACTCACTCAATTTTATCATTCTGTTGTTAGAAATCTTCTAGGTATCAGAGATTTTAATGCTGGAGGGATTTTACTTGGGTATTAAAAAGAAAAGTGTAGTTGAAATCTCAAAATGTGGAATTTTAGCACAAAAAATGTTTTTTTTTTGAGCTGGCATGGAAATGAATGTTTATATAAAGATGATGAGTCCCATTTGGCTTTGAGTAGGTTCTTTTCAATTTTTTGCTTCTAGTTTTTAGTCCTTAAAGTCTTAGTATTCGTCAGTAGCTTGAAGCCTGGTTGTTAGACAGAGGCATTCAGGTAAACAATTATAGCGCAATTATAGTTAGCTTTTTATGGTATATTCGTTTTAGTACCGTAGCGTTCTTTAGCGTTAATTGACAATGAAAATCAAACCCTTGCCATAAAATAAGCATGCTTTTTAAAATTATTCTTAACATTTATCCCAAGTTTTTCCATTTCCGTTTAGAATGAATTAATGACTGCAAGTTACACAAATGCATTTCGCTTGTCCAATCTGACTTTGGCTTTTTTGGAGGACACAGGGTGCGCTTATTGCCATATCTGCCTTTTTCTTTACCCCGCGTTTGCAGCACATTTAATTTGAAGTTTTAGGTGGTACCGCCCTAACTATTCGTTGGCCCAACATTTAGCTTGGGGATCCAAACGCGGGTGCATATTTTCAACTCAAAGCTGTTATTCGTATATGCTGGACCAGCTCTCAAGGTAGCCGTCATTGCGTCTAAACCATCGTCTAGTCATTATAAAGTATAATTAATTTTCTTTTAGGAATGCTGACATTGCTCCATTTTGTGTTCATCCAGAATTCGAGTCGGAAGGCAGCCACTTTGCTTGTACACCTGACCGGCGCAGCTTCGGTTACTGCAATCTTGTGCGTAAAGAGTTTGGACAGAACGCTAGCAATATCCACCCAATGTTTGTTTACTTTGGCAATACATCCCGTATCAGGCATCTGGGAAAAATCATACCGCGAGACTGCTTTGGAAAAATGGATCTCGCTGACTTTTGTCCATTCATTCAAGTCAGTTTTCGTCTTACCAAAAATCTACTCCGACATTTAATTAATATATCCTCACCTTATTTCAGGAGATAACATGGACGGATGGCAATGGAGCTCCTCTCCGCTCGAGTCAATGTGATGATCTGCATAATTCTGAAGGTAGATTGTCGATTTACAACGACATTTTCCACAGAGAAGCACCTCATTTTTTTAAGCCGTTTATTTTCTCCAAAAAATGGGTATTTATTCTTTTTAACCACTTTAACGCAATACGTACTTACGTTCAACTCCGTCAAGTGTAACATTGAATTCGCCCAAAAATGATTTTTTTTAAATTTTCATCACAAGTTATCACAACCTCAACAAATTATAACCTTGAAGTGTTTGGTCCGCGTTCTATATGCCTTCCCATCGCGACTAACTGGACCCTTATTGGAGCAAATTCTACCCATTTTGGAGCCCCCATTCGTGGAGCTGCTTGCTATCAGGTAAGCAGGTGTATTTAAACATGCAGGTTTCGCTCGTTTAAAAGCCACGTATCTCTTAGTATTGAAGAATGAGTAGAAATTCAAGCGAAAAGGGAAAAAAGATTATATGAAAGAGAATGATCAGGTACTAAATCGAACCTAACTAGGTTATGCATCGATCATAACCTAAACACCCGAACAACAGCCTCCGTCAGCCTTCCCCTTCTCACGAACGACGAGCAGGAACGGAGCCCGTTTACGATACATACTTTCCGTTTTCAAACTGGGCGATCGGTTTTCTTCACTCCACTGACAATGTTGAGCTGAATGATGGCGAGCAAACTTCATTAATTCGTTCCAAAGCTACTACAAGCCAATTTGAAAGATAGTAGCAATGATTAATAAAAACCACTAATGTCCCTTTCAAGGGTTAAAACACCGGATCACTACTGATATCGTGGCATTCACGAACAACCCTGCCATAAATGATTTGCGAAAACGGATGACGAGCCTCCTATTGTCAATAAACATCATTTACAGTGGAAGAGTACAGCGTCAGCAACGCCCATCCTTCCGTTTTCCATTTCTAATCTTCGCCGGTATCATTGCCGTTATCGCAAGGCGTAGTGCTACTAATTACCATTCATTCATCTCCGAGCCATCAGCCCCAACTTCAGCTTGAAAAAGCGCGACTGGCAAGTAGTGTTGGCGAATGCCGCAGACACTCGGACCAGTTGCCCCTTCTACACCGTTAATACATTTAACGGTTTCAAATTTGTCCTCCATAGCGGAGACGAAATTAAAGTTGTTCCTCCAGAAGCTCACACGCGCCAAATTAAATTGATTACTATTCAATTTTGAACCATCAGCAATGTCCATTTGTCCATTTTTCTTCATGTTTTGGTCTCTTGGTTTCCATCGGTCATTATAAGCTCATTAGTACAAATCGGAAGCGCTCTTGTTTCAAATAATTTTACTGAAGATCCTGCGGTGATTACCGAGCCCTAAATAATGCAACACTTTCCCATCGTTTCATGCCACTATGGTTTTTTCGTCTTTAATTGACAAGTGGATTGGAACCCCGAAATGAGAGCCACCACCACGGTAACTGAAGCGGCGTTTAAGGCGTTAAATGATGTGGCATCAGTCTCGCGCTTTTGTTGTTTATAGGAGAACGAAACACCCATCTTTCGATAAGACCCTTCACAAACCAATGTTATCTAGGTCCCACAATACCGTCACGGTAGTCATTTGCTTAATGCACAACGTCTTGGAGTGAGCACGAACTCTGTCGTTTCGTGCTTCATTGACAAATACAATTTTCCAACTGCCAATCCCATTTTAAAATATAATACATGCATCTGTGTTGTGTTTCTATGTAAATTATGATAAGTCTTTCTCCTTGATGTTTTATATAAACACAAATGCTTAGAATTTTACACTTAATACTGTTATACAGTATTTCCTTTTTCCCCTCAATTTTGATTTGCGGTGTGTCGTGCAGTACTTGATGTAGTGGCTTCACTGTCATCCAAATATTGTGCACTTTTTACATTCAATCCGCTTCTAGAATGTTGCTTTTAAGCGGGTGGCGTGAAGGCTGAGGGACTCGTTTCGGCAGCCGTTTATGTATGCTACAATGCTATGTGCAAATGTCTGGGATATCGAAATAGCCACTGGTTTCAAAATATCGCTTATAAGGGCGTTTGCTATTCAAGTCAATTATCTGCTCACCTTCGATTAATTAGCACCCGTTTCTCAATTTCTTGATGTTTGAGTTTTCAGGATTTATGACCCTGGCTTTTCAATTCAGATTAATCTGCTCAACTTCCAATGGGAGGCATTTCGTCACAGCACTGAAATTTTTCCATAAGAATTAAAATAATCGGAACAGCAGCCGTCAGCTGCTTGAACAAGAAGCACAGTAAACAGGGTAAATGTTTTTAAAACAGTTAAAGTATTAGCACTACGACTGCTACCTAAAATTTGTGCTTTTGGGAAGGTAACGTTAAAATTGCCTCAAAAGTTAAGGTTTTTAATATTTTTTGATGGAACGAGGTGGCAGATAATAACGCTGCATGAATCCGGTTGGGGTCTCCGCAACCTGCAATAGACCAGTATGCCTAAACAATCATATAAATTTTCTTGTTTTTTTTAGCTTAAATGTAGCCTGTCTGAAGGTGGCCTTATTTTGGAGCTTTCTGGTGGTCTCCGTGTTCTTTGTGGTCGCGGGGTCCAAAAGACTCCTGTGAACATCTCGGTCTGCCTTCGCGAGCCCGCTCTCACGGTATCCGGCTCCTTCCATTGCCCGAAATGCACGTCATTTTGCGATGTGAGATATGTTTCCCTGCCATCCCGTTTTGGTTTTGAAAGATCTGAAGGTGATAGAAGCCCCATGGAGGACGTTAGCTACTACTTTTACAATCCTCTCCGTTCTTTTATCGTGCCTGAGACTAATTCACTTAAATGTCTGGTTTCGTAAGACCAGAAACTAGAGTAGTACGATCCTTGTCAAAGAATTTTTGGAAAACTTGCATGTTGCACAAAAGTGGTCTGTATCGACTTGTGTGCAAAGGTTACCACAATGAGTTTAGTGTCATTAGGTTGTGCGTTTTGATGGCACAACTACATAAGTTACGGAACATTTTCCTAGTTCACATGTGATTAAATTGCATGTTAATTTAGAAATATTTAGCACCAGTCGTCAACTCATTACCACTTTTGCCTTTTTGTCTTCACGAGTCGCTTTTAGATAGCCTTTATGTACTAACATTGATTTCCTACTTCTTCACTTCATACTTCTCTAGACTTGAGTGAGTTTTGACATGAGAAATAGGAGTTACATCGAAGAAAACTACCGAACAGCAATGTATTAATGTGCTGGCTAAGAACGTGATCGCAGTTTTGTAGTGTGAAATGAGCTTTAGTCGAAATGCATTTCCGTCTGTTCGTTGACCTCATGCTTTCTTTCTAATAATTCATAAACAAAATACATGCTAATGTGGGGCTTTCATAATTATCTCCCAAGAACCGGTAACCTGTTACTAGTTGCCAAACACGTTCGATGCACTTTATTGACTATTCTTTTTCGATTTGCCGATTCAGGCTGTTTTTAGCGGCTCCCCAATTCGGTTAAAATAGCTTTTGCCAGCAAAAGTCTGATTTGATCGTTTGGTTAGTCAGAATCAGCCCAAAATACGCGACACCACACTTGACAGCATGATCATATATTGATTCAATTCAGATTTTTGTGTGGTCTGCGCTACAGCATCGCACCTAGAACAGTCTTTTTTGGTTGAAGTTATTGTGTGCAGTTAATTTTTCATTGTTATTAGTCTTTAATCACAAAAAATGGTGAACTATTTGCGCCTCAAACGCAAATATCAACTATGGATTTGTTTCGATAATTAAATTTTCTTAATGCGGGACCCTATTTCACATCAGATGTGGAAATGAGAAGGTCATAGCGTTGACAGATTACTTACGACGAAAAACATCGCTGTTTTACAAACCCATTAGCTACTGCTGCATGCGAAATTGTACCATGATTCAGTTTTGCGAGTTTTTGTGCCTTATTGTTAAATTAAGCAGTTATCTATTTATTGGTCAGTTGCACCTTGTGACTCGTGTCGCATTACGCATTAAAAGTCCCATTTTGCTGGGTCAGTACATGGCCGTTCTGTACTCACTCTTAAACGTGCAGGTCTGTCTACACTAGTGCCGTACAGTTGGTACTGTTTAAGACGTGTATCACACACCCTACCATCCACCATTTGTGTTTGGCGTAGTCCTCATTTGCTTGATTTCGTTTTTTCTCAAAGCGATGTGTCGTTTTTTACATTGTGGCATTCGTTGTCCTGCTTGCAAGCCGATACCTGAACATTTGACCAAACATCGTGGTAGACCTAGACAGCTAATTCGAATTCTAGGAACTCTAATCGGAACAATCTAGCTTTAATCCTCTAAATTGCCGCAACGTAACTCATTCGTCTGTATCTAGACTCAAACCAGACCTCGAATATTCGCTGTTAGGTCTCATGCTTCATGTCATTTTTTCAATTCTTTCCATCCATTATAAGCGATTTTTTCCTAGTCCTCTGTTTGCGGCACAAACGGTTCAAGTTATTCAACTACGATGCTACCTACAGTCCAGCGTGAAATAATGCCGATCCAGTCTCCAATCTGGTTACAAGCCTGCAAAGGAAGCAATCCCCTTCCTGGTGTTTATAATCTAATCACTGTTTTTGTTGCTCCTACTCTTATAGTGTGGTTTCAGTAATTTCCATATACTTAACTTTAATAGTTCGAGGTCCCTTCATAAAAAAACGTCTTTTAATCCTAACACCATCACGGTTTCTGTGAAGCGGAAACACTTCACTGGGATTGTAAGTGTCAGATGGTCTCCGTCGTTCTTAACGATACAGGAAACCGGTGCGAAGTGATTACACAGCACCTATTAGTGTAAAAATTAAACGGGAAGTTGCTCTGGTTCTACCGCGTGACTAATCCACCCAGTTGGAGAGAACAAGGCTCGCGTTCGTGCCTCCAAAGCCGAAGGAATTAGTCAGGACCAGTCTCCTGCGTCCTCCTTTTCTAACCCAGTTGGGTTCAGCTCCAAAGGAGATTTTCTCAAACATCATTTCAGATATTTCTTTGGCCTCATCCTTCTTGGTGGTGCGTTCAAGCACCCTGGCGATCTCATCGGGTGAGGGGGGCCTTTCCAGATTTCTATTGGCCACGCAGATGCCGTGTTTAGCAGCTAAAGCACAGTAGACGGCCTCTAGGGCACCAGCTGCCCCCAGGCTGTGGCCTAAGTGACCCTTTACCGAGTTAACTTGGACCTGAGTCTGGTGATGCTGCGTTCCGTAAGCCGCAAACAGCCTGGCTATTGCCGCCAATTCAGTCGTGTCCCCCGCAGGCGTTGAAGTTGCGTGGCAATTTATGTGTCCCAGCTAAATGCGAAATATCCGATTGTCAACTCTAGGTTTAAACCTTTACAGAAGTTCAGAATAAAGGCTGCAGTTTGTGTGGAATGCAGTGACGTAAATAGGAAAAAGTCGCTGCTCATTGTATTTCCAATTGTAGTGATCTTTCACCAAGCGAGCGTGAGTGAAGCTTATTCACGAGTTTGTCGAATGTCATCGATTGTCGGTTACAGTTGACATCCGATATTCACTCACACAATCTGCCATAAGACTTGAGTGGTCGAATATAGATACATCGTTATGATCACTATCATCTGTCTTGCCTTTTTTCTAGGGCTATTACAGACTATCGACTAACAGGGTTGTGAGGTAGTGCTAACCGAGCCGCTACACAGTTGCTCGACTCCAAGGGGCTGTCACACCTAGCAACCCATTGGTTTTTTAATGGAGTCGAGGAGCTATATACATTATGCTAACGACCAACTCTACTTCTGTGAGTCTAGAAAGCATTTAGGAAATGTTGGACATCGGTCATAAGGTCCTGGACATTTATACTCGAATGTTTAAGGTGGCCCGGCGTAAATAGAACAAAGCACTTACATCAGTGAGAGAGTCGATACGTGCGTCATCAAGGGCGGCCTTCATGCTACGGAAGGCGCCATCGCCAGTTGGTTCTGGGGAGACTAGTGAATAGGCGTCGGCTACAGGAACAGCAAAAAAATACGTGTTTTAACGGCACACCAGTTTTGTGATCTTAAAACCACTGACTTCTATTATTACAATACAAGCTGCAGAATCGTTAATTGGACCGCACTTCGGGACAGGTGGACGCCATTTCGTTTGATGTTCTGGCCGCGAGTTGCTTCGCCGTTGGATTGTGTGAACTCTGGAATACCTCCACAGAAATTTGTTATCCCATCACAGGAGACCAGATTTTCGACTCTAAGCAACGCAAAGTAAATTTTCGATGATGCCAGAAGCCGCCCCCATGAGGAAGCCACATAATTTTGTGGGCGACAGCAATTTACTGACTACATTTACGGGACGGGAACATTTTAATGGTTTCCGTCTTTGCATTGAGACGTGGCATTTTACAGTCTGCATAAAGACATACAGGATCGGCCAAACCCGAGGATTTCTGCGATGGGTGGTTGGCATGAAGGAGAGCCGGGGAGAGGCCAAGCCTCGAGGACCATGGCTGCAGCACCCTCGGCCATGGCGAAGCCGTCACGAGCTGCATCGAAGGGCCTGGAGGCTCGCTGTGCGTCTGGTTCAAGCGACAGAGCACGAATGCGTGAAAATGCAGTCAGTATCCAGGAATTTAGGGGCGCTTCACAGGCCCCCGTCAGTACCATATCTGCTTCTCCATGCTGTACTGAAAGAAGGGGGACCGTGCTTAATATCATCAATGTTTCCTTAAATACTACTGGAAAACATAAGCGTCGAAACAACTTATTGACAGAATGAAACGGATCAAGTCATAATTGGGTTCCGTGGGTATTAGGAAGAAGTTCCACACACATGTTTGCCGGGATACAACCTTGAAGATCATCAGAAGGACGAGAAGCTCACTCATTCGAAATGCTTCGCCCACAGAATGTAGGCCGGACGCACAGGCTGTATTGCAAGTCATGGCCGGGCCACGGAGACCCCAAGCACGGCTTATATGTGCCGCCGGCATATTACCAAGAGTGCGGAGCAACACGTGGGCACCCATTCCGGCGTATCCGCGTTCATCCATGAGGGCCTGTGAGCGCAGGATCTCACTTACACCCTCCATACCCGTACTGAAGTATGTCCCTAAAGTAATTTGGTAGAAGATAAAGTCCTGTACGAGGTGCCAATTTAACTAAAAACCAGTGGCCATTGAAGCTTAAACTGCAAAACACTCTCCTTAAATTGTGTCGTTTTTTTAAATGCAAATTCGAAAGCTCCTAGTAAAAACCACTGAAATTTGCCTGAGGATGATGTTTATTTCATTGAGGCTACTTTTACTCCTATGCGCGCGTGCCATTGATCAGCTCAGACACATGGTTCATGAAGAAACTAGTTCACAAAAATTTACTATATTTGCATAATCGATGATAGTGGTGAGATACAAGACCCCAAAGAGTTGCTATATCATGTACCTTGAGTCGAACAGAGCCCTCGTGCCAAACCCAAGATTTTACTAATATTAGCTAACAGGTCATGCAGACTTACGATAATCGAATAACAAGCCTTCCGTATGCTACACCGTCAACAAATTTTGAGACACACAAGGTATGAAATTGCGGGTTCGGCACCATTATCATACTCTTAATAGTGGTGGGAAATTACTGACATGGTGCATACAGATGTGATTCTCAGTCCAAAACTGACACCAGAGTAATAAAAGTACGGTGAACGCGTTTTGCAGTAAGGAAATCTACTTTCCTTAGAATCTACACTGCCTTCCGTCTAAACTCGAAAGCAACAGAGTGGTCACTGACTCAAGATCTATCCTTGGCAAAAGAGTTTGCATATTTCTTGTTTCTTAAAGCGAAGCATTGATGCCACTAATTTGAATATTTTGCATTTTTAAAGTGATACCATATTCGGGCAGGAAGTTTAACAGCTACTCTCGTCTACCCGCCACATCATGTAAAAACCCTAAGTGGCAGCAAAATTGCCACTCAAATAATTATGTGGCGGCGCCTGATAGCAATTCATTGCATTTTACCTGCACGAAAGCTGATTTGGTTGAGTCTAGAGGAGTCACACGATGAGCTATTGTGATCTGGAAGCCATCCAGATTGTTGTAGAGCTTCATGGGCAGCGAGTATACCAAGGACACAAGCACGAGACATGGACCGTCGATCAGTTCGCCCTGCAAGGCCCGGCAATGAAGCCTGATCATTCTCTAGCTCCTGCCATCGCTCATCAATAGCTTGATCAGAAACTGATCCGCCTACACGGCATGGCCCATTGAATCCCACAACTGAAATCGCATAGATATTTAACACCGAGGTTGTGAAGTCGAACGCGCAAATCTTAACGGGTCATAGGCGTTACCTTCAAGAGGCCTCAGGCCACACTCATTCCTCAAAAGGCGGCCCCATGTTTCGGCTACTGACACACCGAGACACGACACTAAGCCAACACCACGAACGACCACTCTCCGATACTTTTCCTGCATTGAAGTCTAAACCAGTTGCTAAAAAATCTTAACGGTGATTAAATATAAAAGTAGCGTATCTTTAATGCTTGATTTAAGACATAAACAGTAAGCAGGCAGCTACCTTAACCGGACAACGCGTGAAGTTCATTGAAAATAATAAAAAAACAGCAAGCAAAGGCCTAAATGCAGTGATCGTATATACTTGCTTATGGGTAATAATAATAATAGGTACAAAAATGATCTATTTGGCAATAGTTAAGTTCTTTAGGCATACCTTTATTGATCACGTGACAACAACACAGTTTTATGTGTACAATAAATAACCAGGCCTCGAATTTTATGATGAAGATACATTATTTTTGGTAAGCTTTAGAAGGGAAAAGGTAGTGTTGTACGGTAAAAAACAAATAGCCTATCGTCGTAACGATGCAAACGTATAAAAGCTGAAATAAGCGCCTTTAGCATGATATTGAGAACGGGAATGACTACTAATTAATTTGAAGACAATTACAGGAGTCATCGCACACAAATACACACAAAGAGATTTAAGGGCAAGACTATAACAATATCAGTCAAGTTTTTCGTCCGTAGACAGTCTTAATTGTTCTTCTTTGTAAGCCAGAATAATCACGCAAAGAAGCACTCCGTGGACCATGAGAACAGCCACAACTGCAGAACCAATATATGCCGAATTGTCCGAGAAGTCAAGATAGTCTAATGGCAATTAGAAATTCAAATTCACTCACTTTTAAAAATGCATCTGGAGAAAAAGTAAGATACAATTGGCAGGACTAGGATAAGAAATGTAGATAACAGAAGTGTCTTCGATGTGTTGTATTTAGGGACGATCATTTAACTGAAACGAAAAACACCAGCATTAAAAGCAAACGTCAAGCAATAACATTCTTACCAAGTACGTATTCTTTCTAAACTAAGGCACAGACAGACGATCTAAAGCAAATTGAGCCTATGAAAAATCAAGAAAAGACTGGGTTGTTCTAACTTAGGGCCACACAAGCAAAACAAACTCAGACCACAAGAAATATTAAACATGATGATTAATGGTTCGACTTTATACAATAATGTGCAAACATACATAAACCGGAACCAACAAGAATTAAGCATTTTAAAGGGAAAAACCAAAAATCTAAAAGTGAATGTATATGCATTCTCAAGATGGATATATGCAATTAAAAATGTCCATCTACCATGAATACGCCACCATTGGTATAATTTTCATTAAACACTGACGAGAACAAAAGTAATCAATAAATAGGAATAGGAGCAAAAGGAGCGCAAGAGATAAAATACCAAATGAAGTAGCCTGGTGTGGTATGGTGCAGCGGCGTGACAGATAGCAGCCATGTTAGTGTTAATCCATTGGTCGAAGGTGAGAAGCACGCCATGTTGGCGACGTCATGTGACCGGGGGTGCGACTTCCGGCCGTGTGGCGTCATGTGGGCATTGAATGACGCGCCGGGGACTGAGAGCCAATCCGCTCACGAGTTATCCGTCTCCATTGTAGCGCCCCGGAACG